GTTTATCCGAGTATTAGAAGAGACTCCCCCCCCCCCAGCTAATGTCAACAACTATGGGCATTTGTGATCTTCGAAATAATCTTTATATTTTCTCTATCTATTCCAATTGAAGTGCTTCACACAGTAATTTTTAAGCACAACTTTGAGCATTTTATTTTGTTTTTTTACTGAACGTTTTGAACTCTTGATGTTTACTCAGGTCGTTAGAAAGTAGCTTAGGTGTATTGTGGATAGAGACTGTAAATTGTTTCTAGAATTATTAGTCTTTAGATCTGTGACATTGATACTCAAACTTTCTGATGACAAGTAAAGACTGCGGATCCTACTTTATTTACAAACTACTAAAGGTACCTGGTTGTGATCTGCGCTACTGTGGCACAGACTAAATGTTATAAGCAAGTCATTCTGCACAGTGAAAGGATTCACAAATCGATTTATTGACACGCACATGTACATCAATGATAGCAGGGACTTAAAGAATTTCATGTGATCCACTTTTTATGATCAGTGTTAAACAGTGAGTAGTTTGAACACAAGAGTACCTTTGGACCGCTTAGTTTGATCCTCCAAGTAAGAGTGCTCCTGAGTAGTTGTGACTGAAGGTAGTCAGTAATAGTGACTGACGTTTCTATAACCTCAGCGGAAATCATCATCAGAGTCGACTGACCAATAGTTGTTTATCCGAGTATTAGAACAGACTCTTCCCCCCCTGTCCCCCAACTAATGTCAACAACTATGGGCATTAGTAAGCTTCCAAATAACCATAATATCTCTATCTGTTCCGATCGAAGTACTTCACTATGCAAGTTTTAAGCACTCTTGATGTTTACTCAGGTCGTTGGAAACTAAAGCAGCTTAGGTGTCTTGTTGATAGAGACTGTAAATAATTTCTAGAATTGCATAATTGTTATTCACTGTTACATTGATACTCAAACTTTCTGATGACATAGTATGGAAAACTAGAACATTCTATTATGCTATGTAATTATGATGTATTTCTATCACAACAGTTGTGTTGTAAACTTCGAATTCCGGAATGTTTTGAAATACTGACTGTAAATATATGAAAATCATGTATGTGCACTGCGGTGAAGAAACGAATATAAGAGATCCTCGCAGTTATGAACACTACTGAACTAGTAGTTGAAATAAGACCTGAAAAAATTTAAGGCCCGTACGGGATTTGAACCCATGACCTCTGCGATACCGATGCAGCGCTCTACCAACTGAGCCAACAAGCCAACTGGGAGCTGATGATTATGTTGGAGTAGTATCTTTTTTTTTTGTCGGAAAAGATCAACTATCTAGGAAGCTCTACCAAAAGATAGCTCCGTACTGCGATATACTTCAAAGATTGTGTATTTTGAGAAGATTTGAAGGCGAGAGTGAGTCTTTGGTGTCGGTAGAGAGCAAAGTTATAGTTTATAGTGGCTTTAAGTAAGTTTTTAAATGACAATTATTGTATTGCCTATAGGAGTAGGTCATGAGAAAGAATTATTACAAGTTGTTTAATAAAAATAGTTTAAAATTGTAGGAGTATAGTATTCGTTATTTTGATTAAATTATACCTTAACAGGTGAATCTTGTAGGAAAACGTGTTGGGTGAAATGGCTGAAAACTAGATGCTGTCTGCTAGAAGCTCTTATACAAGCCATTCTAACGAAAAACTAAACAACACCAGAAAGAGGCCCGAAATGACGACCAGTTAAAGCCTAATTTTAAAACCTTTTCAGGCTTATTTGTGTGTATGTAACCGCTAGCAGAGAAGGTGTAATCTGTTACTCTGGTTGCTTTAGTTATAACTGACAATGAGCCTAAGACAAATAGCACGTCTAAGTAATCAGAGGTTTGCATGTCTTTGATGCACTTTAGAAAATTTAAATTGACTTTCCTAAAGGCTAAACCTTCTTATCGCCTGCTATTCAAATTCTCTACATGTAATAAGTTTAAGGTTACATGAGACAATGAATTATCACTTTCCAGATGTCAGTAAACAAAACCGATTCCACTTTATCTTTTTGTTGTTGTTAAAGGCACTGTCGCTAGTGTTGTTGAAGTGCAAAGTTCATCATATTCCTTCGGGTGAATAATCGATAATCTTCGGAAGGGTGTCCAATCCGTGTTATGAAGCATAGTGACGACAAAAGAAATAACATTGACGATGTATCACTAAATGATCCAGTGTTCTGTGTCACACAACTCTCCGCGGGATGGTACCGTTTCGTGACAGCTGTAGGAACTAGAACTCCAACAACTTGCGTTGATAGTTATAAATGTGGTAAAGCCAACCCAGGCTGGTTAACCCTTCAACTCCCGGAGACGATTAACCTGTTACTTCTCCCAACAAAATCCATTCATACTCTAAGCTTAGGAAACTTATCAGGAAGAAGTTGTTTACCTGATCTAACATCAAACCATCTAAACTTATTTATAAGGAAATGTGAAACACCTTAAAGGGAGAATCAACAATCAGATCTTGGAGGTTAAAGGGTTAACTTGTGCTACTCCCGTAATGGAAGATGGGGAATTTGACAGGAAGGTCTACTTTAAACATAAAATTAGAGGCTGTTGCTACCGATCAGTTCAGATTTAAGTAGAAAATTCTGGACTCTACCATTTATACAAATTTTTTTCACTCACCAACTTGTGATCTTCGCCACTATGATACAGACTGACGTTGAGAAAAATAACTCCACGTAAAAAGAGGATTTATGAACCGCTATCTAAGTAGACGCCTATCACAAATTTAACAAATTTTATTTCTCATCATAATAACTACTTACATTATTTTAACACTTATTATAATTGTAGATTATTGACCCAGGCGAGATACCCTGTCTGGCTGAATGGTAACCATCCTATAAGTCCCAAGGATTGGTCCGCTTTGGCACGATTAAAGTACTTTACCAGTGTTACTCAAAAGATTTCTGAAAAAAATTATGACATCAGCTATATATACAAAATTTTTTTGAACAAGCTGTGAACTGTGCTTGAGTGGTCCAGACTAAATTTGAAGCTAATAACTGCACGTAATGAGAGGATTCATATATAAATGCGTGCAGGTAGATATGTATCCTCCCCTCAGCCCTTTCCTTATGAACATGACGCTTGAGAATTTATCAGGTACTCAGATCTTCTTTGAAAGTCAAATCTTTTTCCAGGGTCAAATTAGCAGTTCGAGCGCATGGGGCAAGTTAAGAACGAATTAGACTTAGAACATAGCAGCCCATTGAACATGGCACGTTACCTAATTTAAATAGCGCTTTGATACATACGACCCTATTACAATATAAAAAGAAAAGTAACACAAATAATTAAATAATTTACCGGCGTTACTGTCTTGTTGCCTTATCTATTATCATCTCGTCTCTCGGGACGACCCAAAATCATTTCACCTTGGGTGCTTGCGCTCTTGGCTATCTGCTTGCAGATTCTCATAGCTTCTAGAACCAAGGAATGTTTCTTTTAAAAGTAAATCATCAGCACTGACCATTATGAATTCGACAGCGACGTCTTCTACTTTTGTTTGTTTCCCTTTGTTTTGTTTTATTTTTTTAAGGTACGTCTATAAACGAGTCTATGTAGCCGTTCAGACATCTTTGCGAGAAGAACTGCACGTAAACATGAGACTGATAAACTTATATCACTCTCACTTCCACTGACTTCATCCCACATAATCTTTCAGCTAAGGAAGATCTACGTACATTTATAGCCCAAAATAATTAATGATAAAAATAAGTTTCCGACTTAAGCATTTTGAGAGGCGCGCAATAAGAGTGAAAGGTTTGAACAACTCAAAAAGTTCGTATTTGATTAACACAATTATGGCTGAGTTTAGATGTTCACATAATTCAAGTTACCTAGGGCTCGTTTACACTTGAAATTTTAAGAGAGCCATTGATCTTCTCTTCTTTAGCCAGCGGTTACAACAAAGTTATGCTGCTGTGCTGCAGGGACTGCATTCCAAGCTATCAAAAGTGAGCCAAACGTTTCATTCACACGTAGAAAGCTTTGAACAAAGTCAAGGAGACTTAACAGCTGACAAAGAGAACACATTTATTTCCTTCAAGTAACACGCGTGTATGAATAAAGACTGCTATTGATTCTATTACTAAAATAGATGCTGAAATAATAGTTCGTATGAAAGACCAGATCTTTGTCTGTGAAAGATAACTTTCTCCTAAGCTTAGAGAAATAAAAAAAAGGTGAAGTAGCTGACGTTGTTTCCCAAGTTCTATTCATCTGCAAGGTATTTCACCGGCTTAATTTGGATTGAGAGGGAAGCAAAGGGGGTTAATAATCTCGAACTAATGAAGGTTGATAAGGTTATCAGAATTTAAAAATAAAGTATATAACAGGAATTCTGTGTCCACAAATAAAATGAATTTCTCTTCCTTGTAAAGGAGCATCAACAAAAGTACGGAACTTACTTCAAGCCACATCCTTCATCCCATGTCCACTGGCCTCAGTGACGGCAAAGGAAGGGTAAAAAAATTAATATTTTGATCTTCTGGGAATGAAAATTACACCTGTTCCTTTAGTCGATCATCATGTGGTCAAAAAATTTTAAAAACCTAGAAGCGCAATTATAACATTGTTTACAGTTATCTCATTAGCAGGATATTTCGCATGCTGTTATATATTAATTGACACATTTTATTGTATGATTAGAACTCTCTGCATGCAAAAGAAGTAAACAAACATCAAAATTGTCACAATTTTTCCATTTAAACTCTTTATTCAATAACGCAACAGCTACTACATGACAACATGGGCGAAATCAAAATGGCGGGTCCGATACCACGTTTTTTCCCACAGGTCCGATGGGAGCGCGTGGTATGACGTAATATGACATCCCCCTTTCTACCGATGTAATAATAATAATAATAACGACAAAAAAAAAATGGAACTTATCATATCTCCAGAACATTACAATACTGGTTGAAAGGATATCCCTCCTGTGCTTATACTTATAAGTCTATTCTTTAGTGTCTCTACTGTTATAGATCCAGCCTTTGTGCAGGTGTCACAGTCCTCCCAGATCTGGTCACATATCCTCCAGCTATGTCTGAGGGTCCCTGGGGGATGTTGTTCAGTGGCACTGTTTCGCCAGATCCTGGTCTGGGGGCTGCACCGTTTTTGTGCGATGTCTGTGTGTGACTGACTGGGGCAAGACTAGTTGTCTGCTGAGGTATCTCAGAACCTTGGTATACTGGGGTTTCCACCCGCTGGCATTGTGTTCCCCTCACTGCAGTTGTGTCTGGTTTCAGTTGGGCCCGTGTTCTTCGATAGGTGGTACCTGTACTGCTGGATCTGATGATGTAAGATCTTGGCTGTTTGGCGGGTTTTACAATAATGCCAGGTTCCCAGGTTTGTGAGTGGTGGTTGTACGTGCGGATGGGTTGGTCAGCTTCGAATGGCTTTTTGGGTGGTCCTAAATGCTGGTTGTAATAGTGGGCTTGTTTCTCCTGACGGGCTATGAGCTTACTTTTCATGACCTCATGGTGAGAGTGGTTGAGGAGGACTCTATGGCATGCTGGTAATCTAGTTTTAAATTTTCTGTTGGTGAGCAGTTCTGCTGGGGATTTCAGCTGGTGATCCAAGGGAGTGGCCCGGTATGATAGGAGAGCAAGGTACGGGTCCTCTTTATTTTCATCGCACTTTTGGAGAATGTTTTCCACGGTCTGGACCATTCGCTCAGCAAACCCGTTGGATTGGGGGTATAGGGGGGAGCTAGTAATGTGTTCTACCCCGTAGACGTTCATAAAATGCTTGAATTCTGCCGAACTGTACTGCGGTCCGTTGTCGGTCGTCAACTGCGTAGGGATGCCGTGTTCTGCAAAGATGCTCTTCAGATGGTTGATAACTGCAGATGACGTGGTGCTTGTTAGTCTCCTGATGACAGGAAATCTGCTGTATTGATCTGTCAACAGGAGGTATTGCTGCCCTCTAAATTCGAACAAGTCCGAACTGAGTCTTTCCCATGGTCGGTGTGGCGGTTCTGGCTGTAGTATTGGCTCTTTCCTTGCTTTATTTTGGTATTTCTGGCAGGGTTCGCACTGGTTAACTTGGTTGATGATTTCCTTTGTAATTCCAGGCCAGAAAACGGATGTACGTGCTCGTAAAAGGCATTTCTCTTGCCCTAGGTGGCCTTGGTGTATGATGTTCAGGATTTCAGGTCTGAGAGTAGGAGGTATCACGATGCGGTCTCCTTTTAGTACTAAGCCGTCCTCGATGGTCAGCTCTTCTCTGAAATTCCAATAGCCATGTAGCAGTTGGGGGCACTCTTCTCTTTTCTGTGGCCATCCTTCAAAGACCATTTCTTTTAACAGAGACAACACAGGATCCCTCCCTGTTTCGTCACGGATCTGTTGTAGCTTTGTTGGAGTTGCAGGGAGATGTTGTGTGACGTGGTGGACATATATCTCTGAAAGTTGACTGCTGCTAGGGGTAGGCTGGGGGCTGACTCTTGAGAGAGCGTCGGCTATTGGTACATCAGGACCTTTTACGTAGTTGACCGTAACGTCGTATTTCAGGGCTCTCATCAAGAACCTCTGTAATCTAGGTGGGCAACTGGACAGTCGCTTCTTGAAAATCGCCTCAAGAGGTTTATGGTCAGTGTTTACTGTACAGTGCTTCCCAAAAATGTAGTAGTTAAATCTCTCTAGGCCCCATACTACACCAAGTGTTTCTCTCTCAATGTTGCTGTAGTTTTTTTCTGTGTCTGTAAGTGCTTTGGAGGCATAGCATACAGGTTGCCCCTGCTGCAAAAGGACGGCGCCTACTCCCTTCTGGGAAGCGTCAGTTTGAATGACAGACTCGATGTTTGGGTCAAAGTATCTGAGGACTCCCATTGATGTGATTTCCTGTTTGACTTGGTTGAATGAGTCGTCGTGTTCAGGTCCCCATACATATGCGGTGTCCTTCTTGGTAAGTTCTCGCAGTGGTGCTGTGAGGCTAGCCAATCGCCCTGAGTATCTTGTAAGGTAGTTTACGAGGCCTGAGAAGCTTTGGAGGTCTTTGCGGTTCTCAGGTGGGGTCATCTTCTGGATTGCAGATATCTTACTGTCATCTGGTTTGATTCCATCCTGGGTCCATTTGTGGCCAAAAAAGCTGACTTCCTGACATTTGAGCTGTACTTTGTCTTTGTTGAATTTGATTCCCCTTTCCCTGGATCTGATCATGAGGTTTACCATGTTCGCATCGTGCTCTTCCTCTGTAGCTCCGTATATGAATGTATCGTCTGCAATGCCGGTGACTCCTTTCAGGCCCTCCAGTGCTGAATCTAAGTGTTTCTGGAACACATCTTGTGATACAATAAGGCCAAAGGGAAGCCGGGTGAAACGGTATCTCCCGAACGGGGTGTTGAAAGTAGTCAGGTAGGAGCTGGCTTCGTCTAATGGTACATGCCAGTAGCCCTTTTTGGCATCAACTACACTAAAGAATTTGGCACCACTAAGCTGTGTGACTACCTCATCAATTGTTTTGGTGTAGTAGTGTTCGCGTTTTATTGCCTTATTTAGGTCACGTGGATCGAGGCAGACTCTGATTTTGGTGACTTCTCCTTTGCCGTTGGTTGTTTCAGAGAGGACGATGCTATTAACCCAGTCTGTGGGTTCGCTTACGGGTATGAGCACTCCAAGTTCTACCATGGTGTTGATTTCCTTTCTAAACATGTCTCGAAGGTGTACTGGTACGGTACGTGGTGCGTGGATGACAGGTTCAGCATTGGAGTCTAGGGTGATGTGATAAGGTTTCATATTGAAGGTTCCCAGGCCTTCAAAGCAGTCTCCGAAGTTGTTGAAGAAGGTTATCCTGTCCAGTGGGGGGTATATTTCAGTGTCTAGACGGCTAGGGTATCTGCTGGTCCTTTGGTGCGGTTTGCATGGTCTGTGTTCTTTAAGGCGGGTCTCTTTGTCTTCTTTGGAGGTTTCTAGGCTGCAATTAAATTTTACCAGCTCAAGTTCCTCGCAGGTTTTACAGCCAAGCATTGTAGGTCCTGGTACGTCAGTAACATTGAAAACGACTTCTTTAATGCTGCCATTTTGATGGATGTATAGTGGACAGGTTCCAAGGGTCTTGATGGCGTGGCCTCCATACGCAGTAATCCTGTGGTGTGTTGGGCCAAGGGGTATCTGCTGGGAACTGCGGTTGAGTCTGTCATAGTCGTCTTTGGAGATGACATTAACTTCTGCACCAGTGTCGACCTTGCAGATAATAGGTATCAGGTGTGTATCATGGGGGTCTACCGTGACTTGTATTTCAGTCATGACTTTGGTGCGTTGTTTTTCTTTTTGTTCAATGCTTGCGATCATTGAGGTACTGGGGCTGTCTCGGGCTTCTAGTGTTCCCAGGAAGACTTTGTCGTAGCTTGTGCATTCACTTGTTACACCATCAGGTTGTTCTTTTTGTAGGGTCATCACATCTGACCTTGTTTTAGACTTGCAAACTTTGCTAAAATGACCGCGTTTGTTGCAGTTGAAGCATTCTACTCCAGTGGCTGGGCACTGCTGGTCTTTGGTGTGTGGTGTGTCTCCACATCTGTAGCACTGTCTTAGGTTGTTGTCACGTCGTCTGTTTCCTCTACCACTGGTGTACCTTTGGTGGGGCTGGTTTCTGGGCTTGTTTCCTCTGCTGATTGCATTGACTTCCCTTTCTTCTTGCTTTGGGTTTGTAGTGTCACTCATTGCTTTTAATTGCATCTGGGTAGCCTCATCAGTTCGTGCAATTTCTTTTGCCCTTGCAAAGGTTAATTCATTACCGCGGGCAATGCATTTTCGTCTGACCTCTTCCGAATCGGTGCCGAAAACTAATGTGTCACGCATGAGTTCGTCATGTAAGTCAGGTGGGTAACCTGAGCTCTGTATGAGTAGCCTTGCTTCAGTCAGGAAGGTGGCTAGGGGACGATTATTCTGTTTCAGACCTCGTAGATAATATCTGTTCAAGATATGGTTTGCTTGTGGTTTAACATGGTCTTCGAATCTTTTCCAGTATTCTTTCAGGTCTTTTTGTTGGTCTTCGGTTAGCGACCAAGTGTTAAATAAGTCTATTCCGTAATCGCCTGACCATAGTAGCACATATTTGCATTTTTGAGTGCCGTCTCGAGCTTTTAACGGTCCATCAAGGAGCAGTTCACACTTTTGGCGGAATCTCTTGATAAGAGGCTGTCCGCGTAAGAACGGATAAGGCAAATTTCGGCCCTTCACCGATTTCCCTAAGTTTTTCAGTGAAAGTCGACAATTCTATCCCATGTACAAATATCACATTTATTTTGATCATTTTCATTATTTTTATTTTTTACGAGACAATTTTAAAGGTCACCCCAAAATTGCCCTATTTGTTTTCTGTGACCCCTATAATTAAGCTATAAATATCGAGCGCTATTAAATCCTTATTTCCCAATCTACAAACATATTTACATATTTAAGAATGACTTTATTTCAATACTTCAAAGGTAAAACGATTGCATTCTATAGAATTTTTACCGAGTTATGAAATTTCCAAAATACCTTATCGTGAGCATTGAAATTTGTGAGGAGTGAGCTACATGCAGTTGAAAGCTATTTCTCTTACGTGGGACCTGATCTAGAGTCAAGTCTATTGCAGCTTAAAAGTACTTAGATAGAGCAAGTTAAATATAGAATAAAACTTTTGGGCACTCCTCATCCTGCGCCGCAGAGAGCTTCGTGAATTTCATAAATATTCGCCATCTTGATCGGATCCAACGATAAGGCGGTCCAACTTGCAGACAGGTTTCGAAAGCGTAACAGCCCTAAAATACTTAAAGATGCCGCAACGATTATCTGATGGAGTATCAAGATCGATATAAATCATCATTTTGACCATTTTTTCACGAAATGGCTCAAATTTTCCGGAAAAATACTTCGTTAATTATTCCTATATGCAAGTTAGCTTCATGCGTTCGTGTTATAATACACGTCAAAAATAGTTTCTGTAACAACATTTAGCCATTCAAAGAAGTGTTCCTATAAATGTGAAACTCATCTGTTGTATCCTTTCTTAAAAGCTTTACGTAAAATTTCAAGAGCCATTTCCTTTGAACACAATGCGCTAAGGGAATCCAGTTTGTTTTGACAACTAAGTTGTTCATTTCGCTCAATTGTTTTTATCTTGTGCATAATCTTTTTCAGACCTCTTTTGCCGTTTTTCTTCAGGAAAATAATTCACCCTTGAGGAAAAATTTCGTCTCACTATTTGTGAAAGTTTTTTAGATTGTGAGCTAGTTGGTTCTCATGACTAATACGGTGGAGTTTTTTCAGCGTGACTGTGGACTGCCGTGAACTAGCCTGGTCACGCAATATCAGCGTTAAAAGGTTGTCTCACGGCTGGTGAACTCAAATTAAAGAAACATTTAGCTCGGCATTTATATCATGATATGTTGATGTTTCGCCATCGAGAGTATAAAAATCTCCCCAGAAGAAATCGAGAAATTATGCAACCGATAGAAATTGGCATATTTAACTTAATAAACGTTTCCAAAAGTAGGTAAGCGAATTTAGTAACTTCAGTTAAAGGCATAAATCATTGAGAAAATTTCGAGGAGAAAGTCTCTTTTGTAAATGCTCGTACATGCTATTGAGTGAGGTTCAACATGACTCACGGTCACGGTAGGCCTATGATTTTTTTGTTTTGAAATTAAAGGCACGACTACAAAATAACATGGGCCAATCTTAAAATGATATTTACAGGTTTGCTTACTTGTTAATGCTTTAAGCGCTCTTAGTCATCGATATAGAACTGTACATCAGGGTACTTAGAGGCAGCGCACATTGCTTCTCAAAAATTCACTGTAAATGCCCTATCATTGATTTACCAGGGCTCCATGCTTACAATCATCCCAACCGTGGCCCGTGTGTTACACTTCATTAATAAAGCATTGACATTCTTGTATAAAGGACATCAGTTGTTCAATCAGGTCTTTTTTCCTGTCTCTTGATTTAAATGGTACTTCAAAAAAGCGCAAGATTTCTTTAAGCAGTGAAACATTAAAAAGACTCAGCTTATTATCTCTCGCACACTCGCACAAGTTAAAGGCGTCGTAAGACAGAGGGTGTTGCGGCCTCAGTTCGTTAGAAATGTGCGCCATCAGCTGTTGTCTTTCAGCTTCTTTTTCCTCTAGAAATAGTTCCTTTGGATTGTGCTCGATTTCTGAGTGTGCTTGTTGCCTTCTTCTGCTTGCTGCAAGGCGAGAAAAGAAACCCTGTACTTGGCTCTTGGTCAACCACTCGTCTCGTTCAAACAACCTTCTATTCTGCTCATCTCTTGTCTTGCGCATATCATTTGAGACTTGCTGAGGGTCAGCTTTTAGCCCTGATTGTTCCCCTAGGTCAAACTTTGCAGTTAGATATTTCTTAACTTTGTCAGTGAATCTAACGGATCCTGCTCGTGGCCTGTGCAGGGCCCAGCCCATAATGACAGTGTGCAACGCGGGTATTGAGACATTTTCACTTTGGTGGATATTAGGTTCAGACGGTTCATTTTCAGTGACGTTGACTGATGTAGTAAATCTGTCTGCCCAATCTCTTCGAAGCTTGTCATATACCGTTTCTGACGGCCTTTCAGCTTTGACTCAATGATCCCCTACGTCCAAATGTGACTCGAGCTCTGAAAATGTTTGGAAACTCTTCACGCATCCAGGCTCGGAACATTCAAACTTGCTTATATTCAAATCGTCCCAGTCATTCTCTTCTTCTGAACTCTCTGTCACAGGATCTGAGCATTGATAAACACGTGCATCATGAGGAGGGAAAAATTTTTCACTAACAATGATACCAGTGTCCCCTTGGCCCTTTAACAACAGCTGGTCAAAAGAGATTTCCTTGCCACGCCCTACTCGGTACGACCTCCACACACGAATACCTTTCTCCTCAAACTAGACATTGTGAAGCTTCCTAAAACCATCCATCTCGTTCACTTCTAGGGTTATCTTCGCCTCGTTAACTTCGCAAACGCATGCGGATGTACCTTTCACTGGTCTTTCAGAAAGTGCCCTCCTCATGTCTCCCGCTGATAGAATGTCGTGTCCTTCGTTGCAGAAACGTCGGATGTATGTTTTCATCGGACACAGAATTCTATCACATACATCCTTGCCATATTGTGGCTCTGAAAAGTTGTACCGAGAAACTTCAAAACCAACCCGCTTACCAATTTCTCTTGCTGCTGTAATGAGGGAGTTATTATGATAACAGCCAGCTTCATCTGACCGCAGATAAACCCAGGTCATGTGAGGCTTTTCGGTCTTAATTTCTCTCAGTGTGCTTTCTATGATGGAACACACGGCGAACCAGTCCTGCTGGCATGCGTCAAACAGATGGGCATACGACCGCAGTTCTAGTCTTCCTTCAAGGTTCGGATCACGTGTGATCACCCTCGAGATGTGCCAACTCAATCCTCTCTTGCCAAACCAATTTGACTGCTTCTCACGATATTTAAGCCGAAGGAACTTCATTGCCCAGTCCATTATTACCAGTGCACAGTTCTGATTAGTACTTATCGTCTTCAGCTGATCTTGCTTTGCTGCTTCCTGGTTTACACAGCGAACAATGTGACCCTTCGACTCAAAAATATCTGTCTGCCAGTTTGTAGTCGTATAGCAGATCGTCTCGATGTTCACTGCTGTAAGGGATCCAAAATGGACCTCGAACTTTGTCTTCGACTTCATCTAAGACATTTCGCAGATTTTGACACTCGTTACAGTTTTCTGTGTGTTGATGGGAGCATTTCTCCTGGAAGTCGGGATCTTGTTCGTCACTTAAAGCGAACTTGCGGCAATGATCAGGACATAAAGCTTCCTCTGGATTGCAGTGAACGCGATAATTGGTCTTTAAGTAGCGTTTTCCACTCTTAAGCCTTTCCTTAACCTCGGCGCACCATTGCCTATTCATTCCTCCTCTCTCTAGATCATCGACAATCATTTCAATTTTCTGGAAACCAGCAGAGCCATCGGCAATAGTATTGTCGAGGCCTTGTAACGACTTTCTCTGTGAAGCTTGTCTGATCTCTAAGATTTTGAATAAAGTGGTGCGACTGAGAGGTTCAAACTTCTCCTCCTGACAAAACTGTATGTACTGGTTAATCATCGTAGACCGCGTCACGCTACGCACTTCATTCGGAATCTCGATAATTTCGCCACTGTCTAGCTTAAAGAATTTAGTTCCGTAAGACACGTCTTGATAAAAGTATGGGCGATTAATGAACTCAACGAAATGATCGACTTTGGTCATATCAATGCGAACACGATGATGTATCTTCTCCTCAGGCACTTGACCGGGACCTATCGTTCTTGCATGACACCGCGCTCTCTGTATCTGTCGTGTAGACAACTTTCCATATGGCGAGTGAAGTTCTTTTAATGTGCTAACCGAGTACTTATACGCATAAAGGCTAAGAATTTGCGTCTTGATGCTTTTGGTTTTGTCATTTTTGTAAGCGGACATCAAAGATTTCAACACATCATCGGCTTCTGCTGTCTCATCCTTTTCTCCACCTGGGGAAGACAAGGCGTGAAAGAGCGTCTTGCCGTCTTACGAGCATATAGTTTTCAACCGCTTTCTCTATGTAGAACTGTCGCTGGGCTGGACTGCTCTCTTCCCACGAGACAAGCTGTGATGGTAGTGGCTGTCGCTTGCGAGGAATATTTCTGGCAACCTCGTCCATCGCAGCATTGTAAGTACCAAGAATCTCTGTCTCGGGGATCTGACGGAAAGTTGCTTCAGGAGTTGCTGGAGTCCAACAGGGAATAGAAAAGGTTTCCTGTTTGGGGTAGAAATCTGACGAAATGGCGTTGACTCCATTTCAGCAGCATGTGCTCCTATGGCTGTTCTTGCATCAGCTTTGGCCGCTCTATAAGATAAAACAATCTTACTGACGGTATGAACGGACATTATTGGACATGTTCAATATGTTTCATGTCGTCTCTTCGAAGGAAGGAGTCGGTAAAGAAAGGGATTCACAAAGGAAAAGAGGGGTAACTGTGTTATCCCATAGAAAGTTAAATCTGCAGCCACCAACACAATCTTTGTCTCAGTTTCGTACTTGGCTTGCGCTTTCGATGTATGACGTGGCATGCGAATAAACACTTTGCGTGGTGAGGTATCTTAGAAACAATAAAATATCCAACAAACCTTTCAGAATCCGCAGCTTTCTGGTTGATTGAACCTTTGGTAGAACTGTACCAGCCTAAACCCAATAGTCGATCAGAATGCTTCTTCCGGCAAGTGGTGCAAATAGCTATAAAATTGCATCAATACAAGTGATAAATCGTCGTCGTCTTCATCATCGTCATCGTCTGGCTTAGCCTAAATCATTTCTAAGAGAAATACTAGGCGTGTCAAACACATCTAGGAGACCTATAGTCTATCGTGCGTAACACTTGTCGTTGTGGGTGCGAGATAAAGGAAAATTTTTTTCGAACCGTAGAGACGAGTAAAAGAGGGGCGACATCGCTTGAGGCATGGGAAGCAGATGCAGATTTACTGCTGAGGACTATATTTGTTTCCTTCATTACCACCAGCCAGACTGCTCAGTAGTCTTAGTGTAGCAATAGCATAAAAGAATTAAAGAAATTTCCTTGGTTGATGATAAAACACGCAATTTTTGTATTTACGACTGCGACACCAATAATTAACCAAGGGAAATGGACATGTGACCAACAACAACAAAAACTTATAGGGGTATTGACATTTGAGGAAACAGAACTAGAGAGAGCCACAAGGCTATTGATACTTAAGTGATCCTACAGCGGTGATTTCTTTGAATATAAGTCTTATTTCGTCAGCTATTTGGAAGGTTATGACGTGGCTGCCCGCCACACTTGTAACTTTCCCAGTATGGCCAGGGTATTGGCACGATCTTGGACCTCGCCAGAATCTTCCCAGTAAGTGTCTGTGCCTCGGGCAGATGGTCATTCCCTCGAGCTGAATTCTCGACAAATGCTGAATTCCCGCTCTCGCCATGATTAGCTTGGCTTCTGTAACTTCCCTGCATTTTGACAAGTGGC